TACTTCCGTAGTGATACTGCCTCGGAAACCCAAGGAGGGGTCGCTATGAGTCGGGTCCGACTCGATGGCACATAACAACAACAACAACAACAACAAAAGAAGTATCAAAAACAAAATAAATCTCTAAGACTGAAAATAGGGAACCAGAAACCTCAATTTACAACCAACAACTACAAAGCAGAAAGAGAAAATAAATGGTATAGTTACAGAACTTTTAAATGGAGAGGATGTCAAGATTGTATCAAGATAGAGCAGACTGCTTTAAACTTGGGAAGGTAATAAAAATTACAGGGTAACCTAAAAGAAAACTAATGAACACTCTCACCAAAATAAAAAGAAAATCTTAAAGACTCCGTAAACACTGAAACAACAGCAACAAAGGAAATGATAAGAAAATCTATTAAAGAAAATGAACTCAGTAATTAAAATATATGAAACAAAGAAACCATTAGCACCACAAACACACATACATACAAAGCAAAATGACAGAAGTAAATTCATATCTATCAATAATTACACTGGATGTAAAGGATTAAATGTACCAGTCAAGAGACAGAGAGTAGCACAATGGATAAGAAAACATGACCCACCAATATGCTGTCTACAAGAGACAAACCTTAGATATAAAGACAAAAATAAGCTAAAAAAAAAAAAAAAAAAATCAACAGATGGAAAAACATACAAGCAAATAGCAACCAAAACAGAACAGGAGTGGCAAGGTTAATTTCTGATAAAATAGATTTTAAGGCAAAAACCAGTGAAAGAGACAAGGAAGGACATTATAATTAAAGTATCAATCAAACAAGAAGACATACTATAATAAATATCTACACACCCAATCACAGAGCCCCACAATATATAAATCAAACTTTAACAGAACTGAAAAGGGGACTGGACAACTCCACAATAATAGTAGGATATTTTAATGTACCACTTTCAATGAAGGACAGAACAAATACAAAGAAACCCCACAAAGACAGAGAAGAGCTAAATAACAAAACCAACCAAGTTGACCCTGCAGATGCACACAGAACCCTCCATCCAAGAACAGCACAACCTACATTCTTTTCCAGCATGCATGGAACATTCTCCAGAACAGACCTATGCAGGGCGACAAAGCAAGCGTCAATAAATTTAAAACCACCGAATACTGCAAAGTATCATCTCGGATCACAGTGCTAAAAAATTAGAATCAACAACAGGAAGACCAAGGAGAAAAAAATCAAACACATGGAAACTGAGTAACACCCTGCTTAAAAACTACTCTGTCCAGTAGAGTCAACTCATCGTGACCCCCTCCTTGGGTTTCCTAGGTGGTATCTCTACAGGAATAGATTGCCCAATCTTCCTTCCGAAGAGCAAGGAGTGGCTGGTGGCTTTGAACCACCAGCCTACTATGCCATCAGAGCTCCCATTGGGTAATAGAAGAAGTTACAGATGAAATTTAAAAAAAAAAAAAAATCTCTGAATCAAACAAGAATGAAAACACAATATATGAAAAATCTTTGGGACACAGCAAAAGCAATGCCCAGAAGACAATTTATAACAATCAACATATACATCAAAAAAGAATCAAAATCAACACATTAACCAACATTTCCAACAATTAGATAAAGAACAGCAAAAAATGCCTACAGTAACTAGAAACAAAATAATGATTTGAGCAGAAATAAATGAAACAGAAAAACAACAGAAAATATAAAACTAGAAGTTGGTTCTTTGAAAAAAT